GTAGTCAAATCGTATATCATTGTAAAATTTGAACATCTTAAGCATTGCAAGCTAGCTCTACATAGTTAACAGTTTGGGTCACTTACGCGATACATGCTGGAGCTACATAAGAGACAAACGTTAGGAGAACATAAACGTTAGCTATACAACGAGATATCGACCATAAGGTGTGCCAAGTAATTTTTTGATGGAGAACAAATACATGTTGAAGAAATTGATGAATAGACCAGGAAATGCTATCTGGAAAAATTAGTTGAAATAAAAGAAGTAAAAACATTTGATAGCTAACTTTTGAAAAAGACTTTTTCTCTGCACTATGGTGTATCCTACTTTTAAAAGATAGGATCAAGATCCCAAAATTTGAAAGCTGCCTTACATACACATTCACTGAATACAAAAAACTTAACCCACCAATAAGCCCTGATCATGCGAAAGAAGCTCAAAAACTATAATTTGGTTCTGATACGATAAACATACAAATTTTTAACTTCACAATGATGATTGCTTGAGGCTTAATGTTGTCCTGAATTAAGATGACAAAGAGGAACAGTGTAAAATTTTCCCTGCTGCCATTAATGTCTGTATACTCCGCAATCTACAATAATCAACATAAAAATGTACCGAAAGTTGTCTTTTGCAAAGTTTTCATTTTTTTTCTAATGTTGCTCAAATAAAACAGGAAGGCGGTCGAAAAGTAAGAAATTGTTGCCAGATATAGTGACTAAAAGATCTTAATTTTATGATTGTAGTATTGATTGTAGCAAGCAGGATTTACCACACATTTTTCGAGTATGTAGCTATTGCTTTATTCAAAAAAAATTCAAACGAAAGCCAATAAAATGCTCATTAGAGTCATGTGTGGCTAGTACTCATAGCAACTTGTTATGCCCGCCCCTAACAAAAGTTCATTGCTTTTGTTTAGTTCTGAAGATCTTGTGTTTGCAAGAATATGCTCATGGCTCTGTGTTCGAAGCAAAAGTGACAAAAAGGTAAACCTTGCCGACATAGGAAAAAAATTCGAATTCTTTTACCTTGTTGGGTTATTTTAGAGGAAAATATGAAGCGCAGAGTATAACGCATACACAAAGCAACTACGTGCAGAGAAGATAAAATGGACTTTATAAAAAGTACTTTTAGTTCAACAGTTGTTTGATTATAGTTCTTTTTAACACTCAAGCTTAGTATTAATTATCGTTACAATAATGGATATGTTTATCAGATAATGCCAATGAATTAGAATAGCGGTGTTTAAATAGCCTTAGTCGAGTGTCAGTACATCATACTTCAAGATGACTAAAGAAAAAGCCGAGACTCCGCTTGTAACAGAGGAACCTGGTAAAGTTAGCAAAGCACCGCAAACTACGAAAGCAGAAGAAGAAGCACAACCTAGTCTTAATCCTCTACCTACTACTTGGATATCTAATGGAGCATCATGGTTCAACCCTGCAAAAGAGAAGGTATAAGGCCGAACAGTTGTTCTATCTGGAAGCTTTTCAAGTAATTAATATTGGAATTGTCCGAATTTATTATTAGATCTTAGAAAAATAATGCAGCAATTGCATCAACCCACTTCCATAGTTATCACTAAGTTGTCAAAAAATAATATTATGCAGAGCAATCTCCATGTTCTTTCATCCTTGAACTGGGGCATGTTAGTGTGTCAGTTGTTTAAAACTGTTTTGCCGAAACCCGGTTTTAGGTGGAATTTTTATTGCCTGACGTTTCGACGTTTCCGTCTTTTTCGA